TGTTCTTTTGCAATCCCAGTTATTGGCGTGCATGCCGAAAATGTTTGTTTCTAGTATAAACATTTAATTCAATTCAAGTCAATTCAATTTTATTTGTATCGCGCAGTTCACAACATACAGTCGTCCTCAAATGTGTTCATACCCTTCCATTAAAGAAAAGGCTAAATTCACAATAGTCACTCAAATAACTAGAAACTGAAAAAAGTAATCATAAATAAAAATGTGCTAAATTATAATTTGTTGAAATAAGACATTGCTTTTAAATTGTGATTGAAAATGACAATAATAAAAAAAACTGACAAATTAGAGCACTTTGCTGATGAGCAGTGGACCAAAATCAAAATAGCTGTCAACAGGTGCAGAAGTCTGATTGAGAGTTACAGAAAACATAATATTAGTTTACGGGTCCCATCATGCTTGTTTGCTTGCGTGTGTGTTTTTTTACATTATATTTCTGTTGAACCACAATTCAAAGGCAATATCAGAATTCTCTTTATTTTTTTCTATTTATTATTACTTTTGTCAATTTCAACTTATTTCAGTGACAGCTTTTTTTTTTTTTTTTTTTTTTACTTCTTTAATAGGAGGGTATGCCATCTCACAGTGCTGAACATAGTCAGGTGAAGACCTTACGAATTTAAACAGAGAACCCAACAATCCAAAGTTGCCTTTGGACTCCCTCTGAGCAAGAGGTTGGCATCAGTGGGAAGGAACCAAAACCCCCCCCAATGAGAGGAGGAAACAAAAAAACCTCAGACAGGACCAGGCTCAGGAAAGGTGGCCATCTGCCTCGACCGGTTGGGGTGAGATTCACTGTGTCCATTTAAAATCAACAGCATAAAACTTAAAAATCCACTGAAATCCAACCTATATTTATTATTCTGAGTGTATTGCTTGCTCTCCATCAGCCATCCTGCTACCCTCCTCCCCTCCCCTCCTCTCCTCACTCTCACCCAACCAGTCGAGGCAGACAGCTGCCTTCCCTGAGCCTGGTTCTGTCGGAGGATTTTCCCCTCCCTAATAGTGTTTGGTTTTTTTCTTTTGGTTCCTTACTACTGTTGCCAACCGTTTGCTCAGATGAAGTCCAAAGGCAACTTTGGATTGTTGGGTTCTCTGTTCAAAATTCGTAAGGTCTTCACCTTCCTATGTCAAGCACTAAGAGATGACACATGTTGTGTATTGTGCAATAGAATTAAAATTGAATTGAATTGAACTGAACCCACTGAGCAGCAGCCGACTGGTCAGGCTCCTGCCAACACATTGCTGCCAGCGAATCGGGGCTTAGACTGGTCTTGTGTGGGTTTTAATTATCTTTTAATGTTTAATAATTACCTCTGCCAAGTAGGTAATGTTTTCATAGCTGTTTATCTGTCAGTCAGCGAGATTATGCAAACATCACCATGCCGATTTTTTTTTTATAAAACTTGGTGGAGAGGTGGTAAAAAGAACCCATTAAATCTGGGGTGTGAAGTGGTTTTGGTTGTAAAATCACACAGAAGAGTGGACTAATGGCTTTGGCGGAGGTCTGTGCTTTCTGAGTGCCCTCCTAGTCTCTTTCTATTACTTCATATGCATCATTTCAATTCATATTTAATTAATTTCTGACGACTGTTTGGAAATTCACGTTTATTTATAGGCAGCATTTAAAAAGAACTGAGCCTAATTATTCCAATGGCAAAGCACTGCAGTTCATTTTGAGTCACAAATAACATCCTGGTGCAGTAAATACTAGATGAGCACACCAACGCGGGTTTTATACCCACAATCCCGATAAATATGCACAATCCAGTGTGAGTGTTGGTTTCAACATTCATGTTTTCACAGGGGCTGAGGGTGCAGTATGTGCAGGGACATAAAGGACGTCAGAAAGCATTGCAATAAGGATTTGACATGCTGATTTAGGTCTTTTCATGAGATTCTTTAGGGTTCTTAGATCGAATTCTTTTTTGAAATCCTGGCAGGAGATAAACTAAGATAGCCAAGATAAACTAAAGCAGCTGTAGCGTCTGGTAAAAACATCACTAAAAATCGCTTCAGTCTATGAAACAGACGGGTCAGTTTGTCTGATGACATGCTGGGTTATGATGTAATACTGAAGAAAAGTGCTCTGATGAGGAAAAAAAAAAAAAAAAAACAGCAGATGAAAGGGCACATTTCCACATGTGCTCATCTGTCCACAGGATGAGCATCTTCACCATTGTCAGTACAGAGTCCATATTAAAGGCCTCATCGGAGATCATTGGACATTCATTGGGTCGTACCATCTGATTGAGCAAGCGAGAGGGGAGCTGTGGAGCAGTGCACGGAGAAGGTGGACGGCTGAAAGCACTGCAGTGCAAAATGGCTTTTTGAGCACCAAGAACTGATGCGTTTCCGTCCTCCAGTCTGTCGTTCAAAGCGCGCCCTCGCTCCGTTTGACACTTCCTTCTTACTGTGAGATTGAAACACACCGGCAAAGGGAAAAATCATCAACGGCGTCTAATCAACAAACGACAGGCTTCCTGCAGATCGAACATGCTCAATTTCACTGAAAAGAGCAAGAAAAGGAAAAAAAAAAAGGGCATTCAGGAGTGTCGATCTGCTGAAGCTAAATGGCACATTAGCTGTGGCTGTGATCAGGCAACACCACTGAAATCCCAACATGAGAGTTTATACAGCATGTACATCTGAATACACACTGGTGTTTATAGATAGCTCTCCAATATATTAATGTACAAAATATAGAATCTTAAAATATCTCATAGGGTTGGTGTTTTCCGAAGTCAAAATACAAAAATTTTTTGAAGATTAGAAAAAGCTCTTCGCTGACATCCTCTTTGTGGTTCGTGTGTTTATATGCTGTTGATACTATCGTGGGAGGTTGTGATTTCACGCGTCTGATAGGAAGCTGTCTGTAAACACTGGGTAGCAGTTTCTCTCCGTATAGTCTCAGAGGGATCTCCTCATTTGCACTCCTCAGCAATAAGACATGACTTGCTGTGACTCCATCAATCTGTTAATTACTGATGTGATTAGATATCGATACCAGGACGGATAGTGCTGCAGTGCTGGCTTAGTGTCCACACTCTTGTACCTGTATCACGACAACATGGACAAAGTGTTTTACAAACAGTACATGAACTCATATACATACACATAAAACCGTCTGTGTTTTACATGTACATACTGTATATACTTCAGCTGGAGAAAGGCAGAGAGAAAGCGAGGAGGCGACACAGCTCATGTCCTCCTGCAGGTTTGTCCGAAAAACCCTTCGGCAATTTGAAGCAAATCAAATTTCTAATAGAGCGTTTTTCCTTCGCGACCGAGACTCACACAGCTGGCCAAATCTGTCTTTGCGCTCTGATTGGACATCTTTGGTCTCGATGGCAGATTGAAGCTAGCAAGGCCTCTGCCACTCGTAAGCTCCTCTGCATGGCTGAGCTTTGGGATGAATCTTCCTCATCCTTTGTGGCCTCGGGTTCAAGAAGGGTTCAGTGCTGTGAGAAGAGAGTCGATCTCAGTCCGCCATAAGCTATCGGAGGTCTGTGAGCCTGCTCATTTTGTCATAAGGCGCTTTAACCCGTTATGTGTCTGTTTGTCACTCAGTGTGGGTTAACTGCTGGACGGTCCACTGGTGAGGAAGTAGGTCATCATCTCTCCTTTGCCCTTGACCGTGACCACGCCTCTGTATTCCAGTGTGTAGTTATAGGAGCTCAGTACCTGGTACAGATCTGCAGTCACCTGAGGGTGGACAGAAAATAGCATTTGTATTCACAGTTTTCTGCAAGACAAGATCAGAAAGTTCGGGACAACATAAACAGTAGCACATGAATGTAGTGCAGCCGGTTGGTCACATGCAACAGGTGCTGGCTGTAACTCTAAGCAGTTATTTACTGTACGCAGTGGTGCCAACAGACCATTTTTCAAATCTTTTTGTCCCTTTTTTGTTTATTGATCCATTTGTTAGCATCATACTTGCCTCCTCTAAATTGTTTTCCCTGAAGGTGCAGTAGAGACAGATTAGATCAAAAGTTTCCATCTGCAGCTTTGAGTTATTAAGCTGTACTGATTTATTATCTGATAGAGTGAAACCAATCATTTTTTTATATCTTAAATATACTTTCTAAATTCACCCATCAGCTAAGTGTCTGTGAAGATTCTCAGTCGTCCAGGTCATGGTTATTCTCGTGGATTAATCGGAGCAACTGGACTTGCTTGAGTTCCTTGAAGACGTTCTCATCCAAGAGGCTTCATCAGTTCTGACTGACTAGTTGGGAGTTCCTGATGCTCAGTCCTAAGATCTCTCCCCAGGAAGATGAAACCACATTCACACCTCACCACAAAAGACCCTAACGGACCCCATTGTGGCAGGGGGACCAGCAACGACTCACATAACGAGGGGGAGGAGCAACAAACCCCCAAATGAAATCAAAACTCAATGTTAATGGTTCCTTTAGGATATAAGTATGTGGAACTCCCAACTAGTCAGTCAGAACTGATGAAGCCTCTTGGATGAGAACGTCTTCAAGGAACTCAAGCAGGTCCAGTTGCTATGATTAATCCACAAGAACACCCATCGGCTACGCGATTAAAGACGTACATTGCAGAGCCGCTGCATATTGAATACATTTCTGATTTCTGACCGAAATAGACTGAAACTAAAGCCAAGTTGGTAAAGTGGCATCTGCAATGTTCACATTCTACTCTCAGTTCCACTTGTTTTTTTTTATTGAGTTTTGACAAGAAAGCTTTCAGCGAAGTAACATTGACCAAATGCAAATTTTATTCAGAGCAAGTTTTTAGTATTGATTTGTTGCATGCCCTCTGCTGTCACCAAGCTGATCACCATTATCTGTGGGAGTTGGAGTGATAGGATATGTAAAAACGAGCACTTCACTTTACCTGGATCCTCTCTGGTACACCTGTGCTGTCCATGCGACTCGCCACGTTTACCGTGTTCCCCCAGATGTCGTACTGAGGCTTCCTGGCCCCAATTACCCCAGCAACTACCGGACCAATGTTAAGACCTAAGAAAATAAATTAACATAACAAAGCACACTTAATTACAACCAAAGAGTGATGTAAACAAAATAAAATAAAGCAACAACACTTGGAAGGCCAAATGGTATTTACTTCATAGGTTCTTTTATAGTGTGGAAAGAATGTTTAGATCAAGCTTTTGCTCCCACAGCAGACACATTGTAGAGTACATCAGTTTGGCAATTAACTGCTCAGTTCCAACATGGCAACTGAGCATTAGTTTGTCTTCTGAGTGCTACCAGATGCCTTCATTTGAGCAGCAGTCAATAACAATCTCACACCTTCTGCTCTCCCCTTGGTTGGATTTACAAAGTAGTAGCGCCTGTCTTTCTGTTCTGCTGCCCACCTATTTTCATCTTGAAGTTGTTAAAGGAGTGTTCATTGATGTACTTCATCTGGTCCATCAGCCTCATGGCGTAGTCGGCCAGAGCGCGGATATGCGAGCGGCCGGCCTTGTCGTACGTGGAGTCGTTGAGGCCGGAGGCCGCCATGTAGGTGGAGCCGATGGTCTTGATCTTCTCCAGCTGGCGGAACTGATCCTCGCTGATGATCTGATGATAGCAGGAGAGGGAAGGTTTAATCACTCTGTTTTATCAGCGGCTATATTTAGCAGGGCTTCGGTGCAGGTTCATTGAACCCAATTTGAAGTTAAAGCAGCTTCTTCTTTCTCCCTATTTTTTTAGCAGCAAAAGTAATGAACAAACATTTAGTAGTTTATAAGTTCTCGTTGTGAAACCAGCATTTATTAAGGAGTCCTTTTTATTTTCATAATGTTGATGTTACTGCAGAAAAGGAGAAAGAAGGAGCATCTTATCGCTTAAGAACCAAATGTTTTCTCTATGAGTTGGTGGAGACCAAACCAGAGTCAATATTGGAGCTAACTTCATCAGCTTGTAACAGACATGACTCCAAATTATGTTGCTCCATGTCTGCTCGATGCATAAATAAACCTTATTGCTATATTTGCATGTGCACAGCATTGCATACTTTAACACCAATCAAATCTCGTCACGCTCCTCTAGCTGTCCAATCAGTGTGAGCCACAAAAAAATCAGTTGGTTGTACATAGCAAAGCTTCTGTAAATTGGAAACTTAGATTGATCCACACAATGCTATTACAGAGTGCATGTTTGTGTTGGGGGCAGTAGAAGTGAGAGGGACGGTGAATGCGGTCACAGAAGACTCCACCTTTAAGTGTGTGAAATCAGACAGAAACCTCTCCGTCAGTAACTGAGAAACCGCAGCCTCAAAAAGCATCGTTGACACCAGTGGATCCTACAGTAAGAGCCACAGATTCACGTCCTCACACATGCAGTTGGAATTGTTCACATCTTTACCTCATCAAAGTCCGCGATGATTTCATTGAGCAGCCGCAGACACTCCACTCCCTCGTTGTTGGCCTCCAGCTCCACGTAGAACTCGGAGAAGTTACTGATGGAGGCGAACATGACGGCGACGCACTCGCACGACTGGTAGTAGAGCTCGTCGTTCCGCCGCTCGCGCTGCAGGAAGTGAGCGGCCACGTCTTTGGGCAGGATGTTGTGGAGCAGACGCCGGTTGTAGGCCTGCAGTTCCTCCATCTCCTCCTTCTCCTCTGTAGCCTGGAGAGCAGTTCAAAGACAAGGATTAAAGCGTAAACCTGAATCACATGAGGTAGAAAAGTTGTTACTGTTGAGTATCTGAAGTGAAATATCTCCACTAATATTGGACGGACTGTCGTATAGTTTGGTGAAGATATTCAAGATCCAAACAAGATGAAGACTAATCCCTGGTCTTTTCCTCTAGTGGCACCAGCTGGTCAATTGTCCAGTGATACATGAGCAACCTGACACCTTCAGTACTGGTTTGGATACTTTAGATTTCCAGTTAGGGTGCACAGTTACTGCTGCTGATGTTGTTATTTTGATGGACGACTCCTGTGACAACACCCAGTTTTTACACTTGCTTCACCATCAAAATCAAATTCAATCTCTCATTCCTTTTTAAAAGTGTGGTTTTCTTTACTTTCGTTGGCTTTGCTTGGTTCCATCTGAGCCTCACAGAACTGCTGGGGTGGTTTGAGGCTCTTCATCTTGTTAAACACTAACCATCGGTGACAGCAGTGAGCTGCAAAATAATAAATACCTCCACCAGCTAAATGTTTTTTTCTTTAGATAAATCTAACTTGTTTATCCACTTGACTGGATGACAAACCACAGGCAGCGCAGCCTCCTTCACTACCTCCAAGAGGCGTCAAAGCAACGTCCCTGAAGAGACGCTATTATTGAATTAATACTTCACTGAAAATCATTTGATTATTAAACACACAACCATGAGAAGTTTGTTCTCCTTCTGTGAGGACAAACTGAACAAAGTTGGACACATATCTTCAGTATTTAGTGTCTTATTGGTGAAGCAATCATGCATGAAGGGGGAAGATAGAAACTTTTTAGAGTCACGTTTAGAGCTTACAGATCAGTGTGTGATACTGAAAAACGTGAACTGGGCTCAAGAGTAGGATTAGTGCTTCACATAAGTATGACTGAATACTGTTTTATCTATCTTATGCTCTACAGAGAAATAGTAATGACCCGTGTATCTTTGAACATGGACAGAAAACCACAAGAGTTTTCCAGAAATATCAATGAAAAAGACAGGAAGAGATATGATTGTTTCAAGCATAAAAGATAAAAGAACACATATGCTTATAATACTAGTTGTATGTCTTCAAGAATGGTTCCAGCAGTAAAAAAGAGGACTTCTACCTCTTTAATGTACTAATTTCAGCAGCAAAGTGCACCGAAATCTAATCAGACTGCAACGGTGAAGTTTCTATTCTGTGTCGTTATTAAAGTGCTCATAAGAAAACTCAATTTCATGCTATTTAAGCTAATTAATGCACTATTTTTTACAAATCTAAGCAGGTTTGTTTTTGAATGCTAAATACCTGGTATCAGTTTGAACCTGTTTAGTGTTAACAGCAATTTCTGGGTAATCAGTGTGTTTATGCAGAAACAAAAATGTTTCAACAGAGTCACAGAAAACCAGCACGACCACATGATGTCACACTTTCTGTGAACCAGGATCACCAGGCATGAAAACATTGTGCGACAGAGGCCAGTGGAATCACAACCAGTTAAGAAAAGATGCAGCACATCTGGTTTCATGTCAGCAACACCTTAAAGGAACAGAAAGGCACGCAAACGCTGACCTGCAGCTTCCAGAGGAAGTCCAGTCGGGCTGTGGACTCCACCTGCTGGGCGTGAAGGTAGAGAGCAAGAACGAAGACTGTGATCACCACTGGAGTCATGATCTTCAGAGGAACCTTTGTGTCGATCACACAGCTGGAAGTGAACACACACACAGAGACACACAGAGATGAGCTTTTTAGATGTTTTATGCTGAATGCTGAGCTAACAGAATCATTCACATACAGAGGTGTTACATCGAGTTCCATTGCAGGAACATTTTGACAAAAAAAAAAAAACCCAAAAAAACAAGGTGCCCTCTAAATCTTGGCTCATTAGCGTCAGCATCTGTTAGCAGCAGGTCATTATAGTTACATTTGTGCCAGCACAGTGATAATGATGCTGTTAGCTTAAACAGATGACAGAGATGATGCTCTGCGTCTCTGCGGTAATAGAAGTTGCCATCAGGCTCACCTTGTTCCATTCATTTGCTCGCTGTGAGGGGAGGAACAGAGAAGAGCTGATCAGCATTTACAACATCTGCACACGGTTAAAGATTTAATCTTTACAAGTGTTAACAACACACACACACACACACACACTCAAGGAGACTCACCCATCGTTGATGGCGTTGGCTATAACCAGCAAATCCTGGTTGTCGAACAGGCTCACTTTGGGCACCTCCATGATGAGAAGGTAGAGCAGCTCGATGAAGAGCATGAGGAAGAGTTTACCGATGCTGCTGACCTGCAGGAAGACGGAGCAGGCGAGCAGGCTGAGCAGCACACAGGACGAGAAGTACTGAGGAAGAAAACACACGGAGACGTTAAGTGCATTTGTTTTATGTTCTGCTGCAGCTCGGACTAAATCTAGAGGAACTGTAGAACACCTGATCAACCCACTATTTGACTAAACATCATTCTGCAAACCACATGTTAACAGTCACAGCTGTAGTTAGCACTTAGCCGCCATTTCTCTTAGAATTCTGACTTTTTTTTGGGGACTTCTGAGTTTAATTCTGACTTTTCCTTAACTTATTAACATTCAGATTTCAGCGCTCAGAATCTAATTTGGACTTTTGACCTGAGAGTTAAGTTTAATTCTGACTTTTTTCCCCCCTCTCAGAATTCAAAAAAGATATTGCAATAAAAATTATTGTTTGAAAATCTTTTTAATCTCTTTTTTTCCCCAGTTTTCTCTCATAATTTTGACTTTAGAATCAGAGAAAGGTCAGAATTAAATTCAAAATTCCAGGTTTTAAGTCAGAATTCAAAGCCAAACCCCTCAGTTATTACAGTGCTACTAATCCTCTTTTTTGTATTTGCATTTGATATCTAGTTCATCAAATTGATTATTATTCTTTTTTTTTTTTTTTTGCCTTTGGTGGAGATTGAACATATTAAAGACAGTTACAGTCTGTTACAGTAATGCTGCTGATTATAGTCTAGTAGGTTAATACTGTAGAGATAAAGTACACATTCGTAGTACAAAGTGGAACAAACATATAGCCTACTACAAATTACATGTTTGATAAATTCAAGTTTAAATTAAAAAAAATAGATAAAATTAGTGACAATTGCCAAAAAAAATGATGAGTTCTGTAGCTGTACATAGATTTGCTTGTTAAATAAAAGATTACTTGTATAATTACACTGGCTTTTACAACGGAAATGTAAAATGAAGGTTTTTCATCCACCTATAATCTCTAGAATCATTGGTCATCTGTCAAAATAGATTTTTTAAGATTCTCTAAACAGTAAATATGAGATGGAGCAGCTGAATAAGTCACATCTAGAGCAGTTATAAAACACCTGATCAACCCACTATTTGACCACTTAACTGTTCATTTCAACATCATTGTGCAAAGTAAACAATACCGTTCACTGCAGTTAGCCTCACTTAGCACCCGTTGGTTCTGCTCAAAAAAATGATGTCATTTTTCTGAAGACTGACATTAAAATTGTGCGACTGCATTATAAGCACTTCACAAATATTGGAATTTTTTTCGTTCTTTCTTTCCTTTTTTTGTTTTTGGCACCTAAAAGCAATAAAGCTCTTTGCAGACACATGTTAGACAGAAAAACAAGAACATTTTTGCTTATTAATTGGAAATGCTGAGAGTGAATTCGCTGCACTGTTTCAGACAAATGTTTTTTTAAAAGCTTCAGTTTGCCGTCTGTTTGATTTATACGTCGCCTTGTTTGAATCAATCATAAACCATAAACTTTGTTGCTTCCACATGCAGCCTGGAGGGTCTTTTTGTATCAGAAATGCCGGCAGCCAACTAAAACGCTCTCACACACACACACACACACACACACACACACACACACAGAACAAAGCACACCTGTACCTCAGGAAAGCTGCAGATGAGAGCGTCGTCTCCACAGGGGCTGATGTGAGTGTCCAGGCTGTAGTTGAGGAGGTGAGCGTGGCAGGCGTTCACACTGTCCAGGCTGATGTTGAGCTCGGCTTTGATGCAGCTCCGCAGGTCGTGGCTGCTGCAGGTGAACTGAGCAGGGTCAGAGGTTACAGAGAGACACGTCAGAGCAGGAGCAGGCCATTCAGGATCCAAACATCTCATGGTCTTACAAAATGAGAAGATTACAAAATGCTCAGGGCTTTAAAGATGAAGTTATGTGTGAGAGAACGATTCTGCTGTCCAACAAATGGCCCACGCAGGATCATCTTCAGTTTGACAGATTTTTATTAAAGTGGTGAATACTGATTGAGTCGGCCATGTGTGAAGTCTGGGGTCAGAGGTAACATTAGCTTTTGAGTTAAAAATCCCTAAATAGAGGTGAGGTCATTGTTTTCTAATTGAACGAAACTGCTTAAAGGTGCCACTTTTCATAAAATTATTTAAAGCGCTATGAGTTGGAAAACCATCATTCTTCTTTCAGCCCAGTAACAAGAGTATGTAACTATTGGAGTAGTTTCATGTCATATACCTGCTGAATGCATGTTCAAATATTGGCTATAAATGCAAAAAAAACAAAAAAAAAACACAATTTTCTAACTTAATATTTTACATTTGCTTTCTGATAAGGTATCTGCCTCTGACTGGCACCATACTCGACATTTTTAAAGCTCCTATGGAAGTTTTGACCCACCATTTAAGTATAGCAAACTCATAGCCACACTGTAACCTGACTGAAGCCACAGTAGGAGCACAATGAAGCATTTTAAAGTAACTTTATCATTTTGCCAGCTGCCAAAAGTGGAAGATCTGAAACTTGTGGCACGATTTCAAAATAGTCATAGGTCATGTAAAAGGTCCTGTAAATGGAAGACATACTTCAGCCGTTTTCTCTTTTGTTTTTCTTTTAAAAGAAATCACAGGAAAAGAAATCAGGCTCTTGGGGTGAAAAATAAAGGTTTTATGGAATGTCGGAATTAAAAAAAAAAAAAAAAAAGTTGTTGATCAAATTTGCACCATCATATAACTGGTTTGTATTGCTCTCCCAAAGCAGGGTTACACCATTGAAGACCATATGTACATATCAATAACCTGTCAGAGCTTTAGACACATGATTTCTCAAGATGATGCACTTCAAACGTTGCTCCACAGATTGACACGGAGAAAAGATGCAAAAATCGACATGAGCCCAACCTTCTCTATAAATTTTAGATGGTCAGGCGTGGCCTTTATCACAGTTTGGAGAACTGAGGTGGAATGACTCTCGCTCTTTTATTAAAGAGAACTCACGATGTTGATGAAAGCAGAGAGAAAGACAACGATGATGGTGAAGACGCCGACCAGCGTGCTGTTCAGTCTGGACTGGACGATCCTCTTAGAAAGAGTCTGCAGTGCAACCGGGAAGATCTGGGACAACGGGAAAACCAGGAAGTCATAGAGAGCAAGGGGTTCAGAAGGTGGAAGGGAAATGAGAAGAATTCAGTGAATGAATATGTATTTTCTGCAGTCCTTAAAATATCCCTAAATACGTAGTACCACGCTGAAATGTGCAGGTCAGTCTGAGCAGATGGGAGGACCGACAACACAGAAAGAGTGTTTTTGTCAAAACGCAACCATGACTCATCTGCACTAACAAACTCAAACAGCAGCTCAGTTTTTCCTTTTTCCAAACTTTCCTCTTCCTTATGACTCATCAGCAGTGAAACAATGGATGGACAAAACTTTTATGGTTTGGCCGCAAGACTTTTTGGATGAGACATTTTTTTTACAGAAAGCTATGGGAAAAGTTGCTGCATTAGTGATCTTGTCAGAGAGACGCAAGAAAAATACTGATGTTGTTAGATCATGGAGGAGCTTCTAATCTCTTAAATGCACCTCGAAGAAAGAGGAAGATTCTGGAAAAGCTCAGAGCGATGAAACACTGGGTGTATCCCAGGAGAAGCTGTCCAATGAGAAATCCTCGGTTCCACAGCAACCAGGCTCAAGCAGCGCTGCTAGTGGCTGCACAGCTGCATCACCACATCCAACCAACTCCCGTGGAGATGCAGCACTTATACGGCACACCACTTGATGAACAGCTTCCATGTAGAATAGACCTGTGTTTCCTCACACTAAGCTTCTCCTGCAGCCTCCTCTCTCCTCAGGCTGTAATGGGAAGCTACTCCATGATGGCGGAAGAAGAATGATTCTGGAGTCACGGCAGGAGAGAAGACGTTAAACCCAGAGGAGGGCTGAAAACATGAAAGAGCAGCTCTTGTGAAAATCCTCACTTGAGTTTAAACTCAGATATCTGACTTGTTAAAATTATTATTATTACTATTATTATTAAATTATTTTTACTTTTCCCTAAAATCCTAAGTTTAAACTCAGATTTATTACATTTTTTGTTCAAAGTATGACTTTTTTAAACTGAGACTCTTGAGTTTAAACCTCGATTTTAGTCAGAATAGACATTTTTCTCACTTGAACTCAGAGTTTAAACTCTAATTTGGACTTTTTGTCCAGAATTCTGAGTTTATTCTGACCTTTCTTTCTCGTCATTTTAATTTTTGATTTTTTTTTTCTCCTAAAACGTTTTTTAATCTCCTCACTTACCTCTCAGAATTCTCAAAAAACAAACATACAAACAAAAGCTCAGACTTCAGACTTTGAAGTGAGTATTCAGGACAAAACAGTTAGCATTCACAGTGCCTCTCATTCTCTATTTCTGGCTGATATCTAGTTCAAGCCAGTTCAACAACAGTCAGGTTTTTTAGATATTGAATAAATGAAGAACAGCTGCGGTCTCTGATGGTGATGCTGCTGCTTGCACTCTGGCAGGCTAATGTTAGGCACAGGTAAAGTGCACATCTGTCATACAAAGTTGAACAAAAAGTCTTCTGGAACCAGCGAACAGATCACAGCAAGCCTGCTTACTCACTACTCTGTAATTGACAGTGCAACCGCTCGTTCGCAAAACCCCAATTACCGGAAACAATCTCAAAATCAGCTCAATTCATCCTATAAAACATCAGACTCCCAAAAATGTCACCGACTGAGATAAAAAAGAACCTGCCAGGAGGTCAAGATCAGCATATGTTTAAAGTTTCAGATGGCTGATATTATCTGACCATTATTCATGGCAAAAGCAGCCTGATAAAACTTTGAACAGATCTGCCTCCATGATGTCTGGCTTTACCAGGAACAAAGGGAAAGTCCTTGTCTGCTCTTGACACTGCAGATAAATATCCTACAAGATTACATTCTTGTAAAAACTGTTATCATTCGGTCCGATTTCTTCCATCTGCACAGAACAGAAGAGTTTGTGTAGCAGCTTCATTCATCACGAGCGGCGACTTCTCACCCCGAAACAGCAGTAAACAGCTGAGACGAACATGACGGCCGTCAGGATAATGAGGCAGGTGATGAAGAAGCCGATCATCAGTCTGGAGCTGCAGACGACAAAGAGACGTTTGTAGACATCAAGTCCTTATTTCTGCCTTCATTTTATGCTTCGCTCTCCGGTCCGTGTTGTGACAGAGGAGCTACCACTGGAAGCATCATCTGCTCGTGTTGATGTAAATACTGCACATGTGTGGGTGTGTTAGGAGAGGATAATGTACGGTAAACACAGCAGAGAACGTGTGAAGAGGGTAAGAAGAAAAAAAAATGATGAAGGAAAGGAGATTAAACAAAGAGAGAAAAGAGGCGGTGAGGACACGGTGCAGGAGGGACTCTGAGGAGGAACCTGAGGGCTGGAAACGGGAATAAAACGACAAGAGGGGAGTGGAGAGATGAAAAGGATCAAGGAGAAAGGTTAATAAAGAGGCCGGCTGAAGAAGATCAATACCGGGAGATGGGCAGGGAGGGAAAGTTTGAGTGCGGGAGAGGAATAAAAAGAGAGAGAGACAGAGAGACAGAGGGGGGAGGGATGGCTTTGAGACTAAAACCTTCCAAAGCTTTTTGAATCTGGCCACTGCTCGCCTGCAATTACACTGATTTTGATTTGATATTCTCTTTTATGACTCATCATCTTTTATTACTCATCTATGCAGCTATTCGTCATTATAATTCTGGTTTTAGGGCTAAAGATGGGAGAATGTGCAGCAGACAGTGCAGAAATGTGGAGGGTTTGTAAAGCTGCAAGGATTAAAGGTTCATGTTCATGTACAAATATCTGTTCAGCTGATCCACGTCATAATAGACGTGTGCAAATGGTTATTAGATTAGTTACAAGTGATTAATAAGACAAGATTTGGGGTTGTCTGATTCTTTGACTGCGTCTTCTACCAACAATTTCCCTGAGGTTTACACTGAAGGGATCAATCAAGTTTTATTCTATTCTATTCTATTCTATTCTATTCTATTCTATTCTATTCTATTCTATTCTATAACCTGCTTTCTTAGCTGAGCCAGCATTTATTTGAATAATTCTGGTTTATTCTGGTCTTAGTAGTGCTTGAAAATAAAAATATATATATATATATTGTGCTCTCAAAACCAGATAGTAAAAAATAAACAAGTTTTAACTATGAGCCCGTTCTTGGATTTAAAGGACCAGTGTGCAGGATTTAGGGCCATCTTTTAGTACAAATGGAAAATACAGTTTTTATTTATGTTTAATCATCTGAAAACAAGAGTTGTTGCAGATTAGGGCTGAGTAATTAACAGTATCCCATGTGGTAACGCTCCATCACATGTTTAAAATCTGGTACACAGCAAATATTGAAGTGAAGCAGAGATTGAAATAATTATATCACAAATCAAATTACAATCGAAAAATCGCAATTAGACAAATTTCCTAAAATCTGTGTTCCAAGCTGCATACAGCTGCCTTTACAAAGCATGTACCATAAGCATACAACTGGGATGCACTGGTTCGTCATTAGATTTCACCGTAAACCTCCACTGTATCCATTTCTGCCTCTGCACAGGTCAACTGGTTGTTTATACTCTGTGACACATGTGACTGTGCAGAGGATTGTGGGTGAAAATGTGCAGAAAAACATGCTGGTTTGCAAACTGCAAAATGAAACCAGATGCGTTGGGAGATCCTGGTGTCTTTTGGGGTTCTGTGCTTGATGTTCTATGTATGTATTGGGGTTTACTGCATCTTTTTCTAAATATTATCTAGTATGGATATTGGATATTGACTTTCATGTTTAAATCCTACACACTGTATCTTTAACTCTGGGCATTGCTATTCTTTTTATTTTTTTACATTTTTTAATGTGCAAGACCTGCACGTCATCCTCTGAATGGACCGTCTAACTTAACCAGTGTTGTTTATTTACTACAGAGTGTGTACTGACTCCACAAGAAACTCTTCAGAAACGGACTCTTGGCAAACATTGCGGTTAATAACGACGTTCGAGCTTTTGATAACAGTTTGTTTTGGGGAGTGAAACTGTGTGGTTCCAGTGTGCTGTGTTTACATATCACTCTAAAGTGGAGGGCTGTCGTCTTATATCAGCTGTCAGGTAGCTCAGAATGACCAGTGAAGCAAACAGAGGAGCCTCCTCCAAGAACATGCACAATTATACCTGAGCACGGTTCAGTAAACTTTGACTATAAGACAGGGGTCTTAAACTCATGGCCCGTGGGCCAAATGAGGCCCGCGGGATGATATTTTGTGGCCCTCTACTTGACATTGTGTTTGTGTGGCCTGCTGTTTTTTTACCTGTGCGAGTCATTGCTCTGGGTGTTGTCTATTTTTTTTATCACTTGTGAGCTACCATAGCTCAGGCTCATGACAGCAACATGAATTAGCAACGCTAGTCACTTGAAACGTGATTTAGGAGTGTCACTGAATGGAGAGACAATATATCCTGTCACCCAGTGCAAATGCGCTGTTTTTTTGGTTTGTTTTTTTCTGTCTCTTCTCCACCATGAACTTTAATAAGCCAAAGTACAGGTCCAAACTTACTGATGAGCACCCTGAAGCCATACTAAGGGTCTCAATTGCTTTCTCCCTCAAGTCAAATGTGGCTCAGCTGTGTAAGAGGAAGCGCTACAGGTCTCTGGTAGCAAGGAGTAGGTAAGAGAAGCCTATGTTCTGAGGAACCTTTTATGTTCAGAATTGTTCTTAATAAAGATTGAGAAGATTGCATCAGTTGTACTTTTTTGGAATACTTGAAACCTTTTTTTTGTGGAATACGTGATGCGGCCCAGCCTCACCCAGACTCTGTCTCCAGTAAGTTGAGTTTGAGACCCCTGCTCTAAGATAATCACATTAAAAGGGAAGATATCCTTAAAAAAACAATAAAGAGGCCATATATCTGAAATGAGGGAAGTGGAGGTCACATTAAGGTATGAAATGACAGTAATCGTGTCTGTAAGGAGCCAAACGTCCATCATTGAATACTTCTAAAATGATTAGATTGGATGAAGAGTTTAAAATTCACTACGATCTCGGCTTTATTGTTTCAAAGTGTTGACTCACGGTGGCACGATGACGATCTGGATGAAGCAGATGAAGAGAAAGACGAGGGAGGCGCAGGCGACGTAAGCGCCGAACCTGGAGTCCACCTGCTTGGAGTACTGCAGGAGGCAACAAGACGAGGAGAGAGAAACAGTAGTTCAACATCTGACAGCAGACTTTCTTACATTCTGTCCTGCTGAGAGCAAGACACACACACACACACAAAAATCAATCAATCAAAACAGGCGAAGAATGACTGACTTGGTTACGTCTCCGCAGGTGGCAAAGCCTGTATTTTAGAATCAGTACCTGAACATAAACGCAAACACTGATAATTAAGACTCGTCAAATATTGGTCACAAAAATGAGAACTAGTAGGAATATTCATTAAATCTTTATTGTCAACATCCGAGACTGAGCTCGACTCCCTCAGTGTTTGAGTCCATCCTAAGTTAAAATCATATTTGAAATTAGAAAGCAAACACTTGAAAATCTCAAGTTGTGAGCTGGTAAATAATTAAAATAAAATGAAACGTAAATAAGACAAGACAAGAGCTTGAACGTTTGAGTGTCTGCGCTGAAAGGCCTTGGACTCAACACAGCAGACACAGCTTTAAAAGGAAAATATTTGAAGGCTTGCTGTCATTTTATTAGTCAGCATTCCAACCCGAAGGACTCGTTCTTGACTCATAATTTATTTATAAAGACTTCACTCGGATTCAAGGACTTGAAGCTGCAGTCTGAATGACACAGGAGTTTTTTTTTAAGGCCAATATTGATATTTAAGAGTTTAAAAGTATGCCGGTGGAAATTTGCGTCCAACTTTTGACAAAATTGAGTCATTAAAAACTGCGACGACAGATATGTACTAAGGTTGACAGTTTGGGAAAAAACTAAAATACTGTCAAGTGTTCTCCAAACTGACCGAGACACTTGTTACACACTTCAGAAAAACGACAAAATTTTTGCAATTTCTGAAAGTGAACTTCTTGACAGGGCTGCAAGGGGGCGCAGTTGGCAGCACTGTTGTCTCACAGCAAGAAGGTCACCGGTTCTGCACTGAGTTTGCATGTTCTCCCCGTGCAGCGTGGGTTCTCTCTGGGTTCTCCAGCTTCCTCCCACACAGTCCAAAAACGTGTTGAAGTTAATTGGTGATTCTAAATTGTCCGTAGGTGTGAATGTGAGTGTGCTTGGTTGTCTGTCTCTAAGTGTAGCCCTGTGATAGACTGGTGACCTGTCCAGGGTGTCCCCTGCCTTCACCCTAAGTCGGCTGGGATAGACTCCAGCCCCCCGTGACCCCAGTGAGGATTAAGTGGTGTATAGATGATGGATGGATGGAACTTCTTGATACCAACTGACCAAACTTACGGACATGCGCTGCAGATACAACATATCGCTGAAAAACATGTATTTCTATATGATATACATATTCTACATATTTACCTTCTAAAACGAGGTTGTTTATCTTACTTCATTAAAGATTTACTGTCACAGTTTAATCCTCTAAACCCGAAGCAGTTTCTGGGCGTTTTCTATTTTATTTATATTTTATTACCCCTGTCACATTTGACTCATTGTGGCCTCATTTTTCACTGCAATATAAAGTCCTGTACCTCTATGGAAACAGCCCAACCACGGTAAGAAGAAGCTCAACTCAAAAATGTCTTCTGTGTAGTAGCACACAGTTACAAAACCATAAATCAGATCAGAAAAAAAAGAAAATAGTTAAATTTCTTTGATTATTTATTTGGCAAAAATGTATATATCACTCTTTTCAAATGCCCTCAGGTGTTGCCAATACCAGAAAAAAAAGAGATGACTCTACTTACAAAAGATATTTTACTACTTACATGTTTATTTGTTTCCATCCTTGTCTCATACCTGCTCTGTGTAAACACTGTCTGCAGTTCAGCCCAGATTTGCTAGATATTTTTGAATTTTTGTCATGTAAGTGTTAGCCACAGCCAAGTCACTAATGTCTCTGTGATTGTGGCAAGAAGAGCAGAATTTTTATTTTTTTTACAGAATCTTTTTACTCCAAATGGTTAATTTTTGGCTATTTTTTGAAACAGACACATCTAATAAAATGATGAAATATCACAATTTAAAGCCTATATTCGGTTACATTTTCCAAAAGATCACAATCCAAGGATTCTTTCTATTTGTACAGTTACTGGCTGTGATAAATGGTGTATCTCTGGCAACTTCAAAAAAGTTGACATGCCTTTCACAGCCAGTGGCAGGCCTTGTGGTTCAGAGGGTTAAAGCGTAACTATAGGAACATCTGATGGACTCAGCTCAGACAGCTGCTGGTTGCCCTGAATCAAAACTGTCTTATCTGATAGAAAAAAAAAACTAAAAATCAAGGTGTGGATCAATAGTTTGATGAGGCTGTAACATGAGTCTGGAGGCAGAATCTCCCACACAGAGAACTGGAGGCTCAAAAAGTCCTTCTGATCGGCTGTAAGTTTTCACTTTGGAACAAGTGATGGAAACTCCACAACAGGCCTCAACTCCTTTAACCTTTCTTACCAAAATTCTTCTGTAACAACACAAACTCTAACTGCTTTTCTCCGCCTGTCCTTCACTGTCTGAAGCAGTTTACTTGCTCTTCCCTTCAGGAGCCATCTCTTCCCCCGTTTAAAGCCCAGTTCCTGCATTTCTCCGTTATACTTCCCTTTGACTGACTTCCTCCAGGGACAGAAAAGAGAGGAGTTTTTTGCACGGGGAAGATTGCTTGTCACAGCCAATTATTTGCTGCTATACTGGCAGTTTGTGTGTCTGTGTGAGCGTGTGCGTCCTGACGTAACCTTTTTCTCCAGGTCGGGCTCTCTGAAGGTGAGCAGGAACTTCTTGACGTGTTCGGATCGCAGTCGGTCGATGCTGCGGGCATCGATGGCCCGGCCCAGGAACTCGTCCACCTCGTCCTCCGGATTTAGGTTTTCCTGTGTGTTTCTGAAAATGAAATGCCTGAATAAAACAAAATGAGACCAAATGACGTTCGCATCCCTGAAAAAAGGCTGTTTTAGCTTCTACTTTTGTTTCTTCTCTGCGCCCGGTAAGAACAACTATAAATAAAACATAAGTCCATAATTGTTGCGCGGCCACCTCGACAACCTGCTGGACCCGGAGGTGCTTTCACATTTAGGTAATCATATGCAAAGCAAGAAGGAGCAATTGACCCAAAAGACCATTTCTCCCCTCAAACCCAAAGAATGATGAGCCAGTTTGCCTCTGACTAATCACTGGATCTGCAAAGTGTCACTTGCGTTGATTCAAATTGTGCGACCTTGTTGACGAGCACTAATCAGCTGATGGAGACGCCATTGTGCCCCGATCACAGTGATTACTCTGAAGCTGCTTCATTACCTCAGAAATAAGATATTCGTAAAGAAGATCCTCAGTTAGACAAGGGAAAAGTGGCCAAATGATAGATTAAAGGTATGCGATGCAATAAGGGAAATTTGGTTATTACAGCACAAAGAGTAAAGTTACCACCACCGTAAATACAAATAAATCAGCAAAAATAAACAGTAAGAAAGTATAAAATGTACAATAAGTGTCATATAAACTCTAAGTAGTAATGTCCTATATGAAGTGTAGTGCAAATAATGTGCAAGAGCGCAAAAGTACAACCAAAAAAAAAGTGTGCAAAAAGCAATTTCCATGAGGGAACCAGATGCTACAAGGCAGAGAAGACTGAGAGCTCTGTGTCAGCCAGGGGTGATGTGTTCAACAGAGTTACTGCTCGCAATGCAGACTTAACATGGATGGATTGAAAGTTAAAACCCCTACGAGCATGATTCTAGTCAGTTTGGACGTGAATTTTGGTGAAACATGCAACATACACTGATCTGCCACAACATTAAAACCGCCTGCAGGCAGAATCCTCCCCCAGCAGGACAACACACCTCATCACACTGCAACAACAGCTCAGGAATGATTTGAGGAACACAACCAAGAGGTCAAGTTGAGGATCTCAAACCAGCCCAGATCCTTATCTGACTGAGCATCCATGAGACGCACCAGTGCAGGCCAAACCTGGCAACCCACGGAACCCAAAGAAATCGCTGCAGATGTCGCAGTGCAGGACACCACAGGACCCCCATGGAGCGGACTGGGTCCACGGTCCAATGACTCATGGCTGCTTTGACAGATTTTACAGATGTGTGTTGGATTTGTTGGGCTGCTTGTGTATAATTTGTACGGATTTAAGGTCAATGTTTAAATTAATCAGGTAAATTCATAGTTTTATATAACATTTTATAGGTCTTAACCTAAGTATTTAATTTTTTTCAGTTAAACTTGTGTTTGATATAATATTTATATCCACCTTAATATTTCATTTAGTCAGACAAACTTGTACTTTTTTTGTAATATTTATATTAATCTTAATATTTAATTTAGCCAGATAAATTTGTATTTTTATAATATCGCAGGGTCTTAACCTTGAAATTCAAATTAGTCAGGTAAACTAGTATTTTATATTATATTGATAATAATCTTAATATTCAATTTAGTCAGGTTAATATGTATTTTAAACAATATTGCAGGGTTTTGACCTTTACATTTAAATTAGTCAGGTACATACGTATTTTATATTATATTTATATGAACCTTAATATTTAATTTAGTCAGATAAATTTGTATTTTATTTTTATGTTAATCGTTATATTCAACTTCACCAGGTATATTAACCTCAATACATAATAAATAATTGTGTACGGTTTTAACCCCAACATTGAATTTCAGCAGGTAAATTAGTATTTTACATCATTTTTTATGTATTTATATTACTTTATCAGGTCAGTTTGCATTATATTTAAAACAATCTCAATATTTGATTAAAATAAATTTGCTTAACAGTATTGTAGAATCTACATCTTCATATTTAATCTTGTTAAGTGGGGTACATACATCAGGCACTAAGTCTCTGAAACATCTTAAATGACGTCTGCATCTTTAAAAATGCTGCAGTATTTTCACCAATATGACATAATATGTAATCTGGTGGAAAAGAAGAATAGTTGCTGTAGTAGTTTAAGGGTGAACATTTCCACTTCCTAATTGCCTCCCTAATGTCCTGGTTTACATTCAGAGTGTGACGTCGGTCCGAGCTGTTTGAGGACGCGATGCTTTTCTAGCTGAACACGATGAAAACCGCAGCATAAACTTCCTCTCAATTCCAAAAGCTGTCAGCGTGCGCGAGGAGTGAGATCTGTGCTGTAGCCCGGAGCAGAGGCTGTCAGCGTGGACGCTTCGGCTCAGTGTGTTGTCAGAACAAACCCACAGATACAGAACAGTTTGGGAGGACAAGAGGAGGACAAGTTCTCTGGAAATGACAGCAGTCCTTTGATCACTGACAAGCGTCGGGTTAAACATCCCCTCTGCTGTCTTCTTAATATTCAGGCTGAAGCAGTTGTTACTGCACCACATTATGAACATCTCTGTCTGAGGGGCGAGACCTCCAATGGCAGCTTTGGATTTTCTGGAAAAGGACTAAAACTCTGAAATAGCTCATCGTGCAGGTGGGTCATACCAGGTTAAATGGCAATTAGAGGCACTTATTGGCAATAAAACTGGACTGGAAATCGTTTTTATCGTTCTTTTATAGCAGCATTAAATGACTAATAGCAAAGGAAAGAAGACGAATCACAAAACTGCTGTTGCATGAGACACAAAAGCTGCAAAGTGTCTTATTTTGTCAACACAACAAGGCTTAAAAATCATGACAACAAATTTGTAAGTCGAGCTAAAACTAAAAATGAACGTGGAAATGTTTGGTTTGAAGTTCAGACCAGATAAACCAGCAAAGACAGAAATGTTAGTAAAACTGTTCTAAATTTGCCTTTTATATTAAAAGATTTTAATAAAATCAATAGATTGCAGGTATTTTGTGTCCCTCAACCTGCTTGGTAACTACCTGCACAGTCATGAATGCTATTACAAGGACTTTTAAGAGCTTTTAAGCGAACTGGTAAAAGTCCTATAAGTGTTTGCATCTAATATTATTTCTAAAGCCTTTTATCCACAGGATGGACACAGAATGAGTTCACACGGTCAGCTCTATGCAAAAGTAAAAGAAATCAGAGGTTTCATCAGATTTCGTGGACTTGATCAGACAATTTAAATACTTCTACAACGTAATTTGATTTAAAGATTGATATTTTACTTGACTCTTGATTTAAAAACAGTCAGATTTTCTTGTATTGTAACATCTTGTGAATCAAAAGTCATTATTGAACTGAAATCAACAGTGCTGAGTCTCAGTGATTTTTCTTTTTCTGGTTCCTTTGTCATCATCACTGCCTCATGGAGGTAAGAACAAGTCCTGACTCTTGGCTCACACAGACAAGATTCACCACAGAGCAAGATGAGAATGAAAACACAATCATGTCGAGGTCACTACTCACTTGTCCTTGGGGTCTTCAAAGCCCTGGAATAAAGAAAAGAGAATAAAAAAACTAGTGAAAATGGCTCATTTAGGAGCTTTTAGAGTTGCAATAATCTGACAGAAACACATGAGAACTTTATTTTTGACCTGCTTAAAACCAGAGTTGGTAATTAGTTTACTAACTAAGGCTTAAAAATGTTGGTGATTGACAGAATATGACCTTGTTTTAAGAAAATAATGTCTTCAAATATGAAAGAATTGCAATTTTTCTTAGTTTTATATAATTTTTAATTAAACATCTTTCATTTTTGATCGTTGTTTGGACAAAACAAGCAGCTGGAGAACCACTTTGGGATCCGGATGCTTGTGCTGAGCATTTTTTTTAATCTTGTACTGACAGTCACTCAGCTTTAATCTATAGAAAAATGATCTAGAAACTGCAGCTCATGAAAGCAGGTAGATGAGTTATATAACAGTGTATACATTCACACTAGAACTTTAGGTTATTTAAACTTGTGTTAAACCTTGTTACAAACACTTTTCCTTTACCAGACCTTCTTCTTTTTTTACGCTGCAGCAGACCAATCATCCTGTGATTGCAGCTTGTTCAGCTTAACAATAATGATCACCCCCAATTCTGGCACTAGAACTTAGAAAAATAGCAAATTACCAATGGACTGATCACATAATGATTAGTCATAGTCCAAGAAAGAAAAAAAAAAAAAAAACAAAACTATATGCATGAAAGGAAAAGTTCCCTGTAGCTCGAAGCAACTGAGCACAAACTCCTGCTTGGCTAAATTAAAGATATCTGTGTCAAACTGGGCTCAAGATTTGCAACAGTCATCCAGTCTCAGCTCTGCACAGCAGGGAACAAAGCAAACGGTTCAGTTAAAAGTTTCCTGCACAGTTTTGGAGTTTGGAAAAAGGGATAAAACAAGACATAAAAGGTCGAGGTTACAGTGGTGAGCAGAGGCAGATGGGAAGAGTTTTACTTGCTATTTTCACAGTTTCTGCACTCAAAAGGCAAATGGGAAATAGTGAAGATGATTCATAAGCAAACAGATGAGAAACAGATTCATTTAGCTGAATCTTCCCGCAAAAAACCTTCCATCTCTATTTCAGTTCAATATTAACTCTGCAACTGTAATTGAGATTTTTTTTTTTGTAATCCAGTGATTCGTATTAAATTCTAATCATCTGCTGTCAGTCAGCTTCAGAAACACGTAGCTCTGCCTTAACATTAGATTATTACTTCACACTGTCCTTCTGCTCTTCACTCCATGTGTTCTAACTTTACTGCCATAAAGTGAGCTGATGCATCTTGAGCTCCCTCTTGTGGACAAATGCACAAATGTCAACGCAGCTAATTTGCACCAAACATATCAGCCTCCCTGCTTGTTCCACTGTTTCAGCAGCTGAACTGAAAGCAGAAAAGTGAAGTACATGTGTAAAATGCTGGATGCCTCAGAACAAAAAGAGAGCATCGTATAGAAATTCTCCCTCATGGCATGTGCACATCTCCTCGCTCGATATGCTGCTCTGCTTCTGGCTTTATCTTCAGCCTTGTGATTAATGAACAATACAGCGATACGTAGGGAGACAGGCAGCAGGAAAATAGAAGCTGAGGAGGAAGAAAGAAGCTGAGCTGCGGCGAGTAAAGCTGACGTCAAAATCCCTCAAACTTTGAACAACCTGTGAGTCAGAGTGAACAACACGCTCCATCAGATATTAGGAAAACGAAGGTAACCACAGATGTGATGTCAAAGAAAATGACCTGAATGTGCTCAACCAGGACAGCAGGAGATGAGCCGGAGTTCATGCTGACTAGTCTTCACTGTAGTGTTTCTTATAACTGTTAAGAAGGTCGATCATATATCAGCCTGACATCACTTTGTTGGGTTTTATTGTTTTGTTTTTGTGTGCTTTGCTTTCAGTAGGTGGTGCTCTAATAAAGCCGCCCTGCCACTTGTTGTTGCATTTATTGGAGGTATAAGGCAGCTCCAGAGCTCCCTGTGGGTCACATTAAACCTAATGATGTAGAAATCCATGCTCATGGATTGCTTAACAATGCACAGGGTTTTGTGGCAGCTATTTTAAAGCGAGACAGCTCGCCTTCAGAATAAAAGCACACAATCATAGGAAGCTTTCTTTTTTTTAAGTAGTGTTTGCAGTATTTAACTCTCCAAAACCTAAAACCTTAAAAGGCAAGTTACCTTTTAAGAGGAATCACCAAAATTATACAAGTTATCAAAGCTAGAAAATGTGAAAACAATGACTTGACTTTAAATTTTTCCAAAATTGCTTAACTAATCATCTGTGAAGTGACGCTTTGTTGGAAAACTTGAACAAATCTAGGAGTAAAATGATGATGTTTCAAAAAAAATCACTTTCTTCCACAAGTCTCATGTATGAATTTGCCAGAAAAAAAAATGTTTTGCCGTACAAAAAACAAAGAGAGAGAGCAATTTAACTGAGAAACAGGGATACAAATTTGACGCAAAGTGCTCTTCTCTAAGGGCTAAAGCTTCCAGTTCCTTCCCTGACCTGCACTTTATTTCATTTAATAATCAAAGAGAAGTGGTTTCATATTTACATGCTGCTTTGCCTGTCTGAATTCAAAACTAAATATTACACTCATCGGGTAGATACTTCTATCCAACATAAGTCAAAAGAAGGGTGTTCAGCTGATCTACTAACAAGTACCAGTGTACCTCTCTTACATGATCAGCGTCTCTAAGTACCAACAGTTTTACTATTTTTCTGAAAGCATTAAAGGGTTATTGCAGTTATTTTCAGTCGTGCACGTTTATAAATTTGGAGTTGATCCTGATGTATCTATTAGATCCTATAACTCTCAAACTGTAACTCATTGTCCTTTTGTTGCAAACATCCCTGTCTTGAAGCCTTTCTCTTACAATATGTAGTATCCAAGGATGACGCCACTAAGCAGAGTCCTGTTTCCTGGGATGAGAAACCACGATGGAGTTCCCTGGCTAACCTGTGCATTTGTGAGTGTTACCAGTATCGATATAGTGTGAGTAGAAGAGCAATATAATACTTATTGAGAGCTGGCCTTCCTCATCCTCTCCCTTATAATAGATTCACAGAGAAGTGGGTGGTTTGGTGATATGAGAAAAACTACTTTGTGTCTTCGTGCGGTATGGGTGCATCCATTCACTGAGTGAGTCACTGTTTGCAGGCTCGGCTCAGCAGGGAGAGCTACAGTATGTAAATAAAAAATGAATCTGGATTCGGTCACATCACTGCGCCTCTGCTGCTGCTGCTGCATTTCTCACTTCATTGCGGTCGCCCACATGTTGCTGTTGTCCCCCTGAGAGCTCCTGAGAGCCTCTCAGAGCCCCGCCGAGGTGATAGAGCCACCGAGGGCCATCGCTGCTGCTTATCAGGACTGCAGATCAAAGGATTATGGGTATTATGTGTTGGCTTCATCATCAAATGAGAGCAAAGATGAGAGCTTGGCAGGTGAGTCACCTGGTTATGGCTCCCTAATAACACAGACAAGCTCAGGAGCAGCAGAGCAGCAGGTCGGGAGGATTTAAAACCAACAACAACCAGTTTTTAAGTTTCCCTCACCATCCTCTTCATCTCCTTGGAGACCTGGTTCCCGCCCAGATGGTTGTAGAACGGACGGTCGGTCCAGTGGCCGCTGTTGTGGGTGACAGAGTTGGTCCTCTGTCGGTTCATTTTGGCTATCATCGCCTTTTCCTCTTTCTGTAAGAGATGAAGATACAAGAACAGGTATTAAAAGCATAGGCTCACAAAAATAAAGTACATTTGCAGACACAAAATCTCTTTATTGTGTTAATGTAAGTGTTTAAGGTGACGGTTTTGCCTGTGAGAGATGATATTATTTATGAACCATCTATGCCACCCAAGGGCTACAGTTTTTATATTTTGGCATTGTTATATGCTTATGCTCCCTGAAATTAAGCAGGAACCGTTTACTAGAGCCTGAACAATGCCACTATCAACTTTTAGGGTGTAAAGAAATTCAGACACTGATACATCAGCCAATATTCTTTACATATCATTGTTTGTGAAAATTTTCAACTGTGTACTTTATAAACTAGTTGGCATCCTCCAGTGAAGACACTTCCTGACTCTGCACCATCACAGTACTCTGCTACATCTACTGCACACAGCTCTAAGATTATTGTAAAGAATGGAGTCTGAGCTGCACTGCAGGACAAACTATGTGATGACAGCATTTCTAAATGATCTCAAGCAATTTTCTGCATTATATCACGAGAAAAAAAACTATTTCGCAATTGACATACATTACTAATACTAACCCATCTCTGACAATCAGTTCTCTGTCAGCCTTTAATTGTCTTTATAGATGTTGGATTGTAGACTCATTACTGTGGTTTGTACAGGAGCATAGGCTGGAAACCGATACAGTGTGAAATTCCTGTTACTCAGAATAAACCACTGACTTCACTGTTAAACCTGCAGTGCAGAACTTTTGTCTCCCCCTTCTGGCAACGAGAGCAGTTACACAAAAACTGTCAATGTTTCCTGTTGCTATTGCTACAGTTGCTTCCCTCCTCAGCTCTTCAGACCCAATGACTGCTAACTGAATTAAAAAATGGCAACCAGTGTGCCACAACAAAGCAGATTTAAAACTACTATCCTACGAGATACAGATTGACATGGCGCCATGTGAACTTGTTTGGCAAGAGCTTCAATCTAATGGATGTTTTCTTCCATGTAAAAGTCCTGCACTCCACCTGTAAAGTTTCTAAAGTAGCTCTAATGTAAACTGTTCATAGCAGGACTTACAGATCGAGTTTCTTACGGGTTCTGTTAATGTCTTTTGTTCCCCTCCAGTGTGTTTGTGTAGGACCAGAAATCTCAAGAGGTGTTTAAAGCTTAGCCACAGTATTAAAACCACCTACGTTGGAGTCCTGTGGGTTGTGTTGCTTGTTACTGATCTACGGAGGCCCTGTCAGAAAAGAACCAGGCTTAGTTTGGAGGCTGGGTCAGCGCCTTGAGCTCTTGGTCGTGTTCCTTGAGCCAATCTTAAACATTTTTTGTGGTGCATTGAGGTGTGAGGAACATGGTTGGCCTCTGACGATGTTTAGGGAGCTGGTATGTGTAAAAGTAACATCCACATGAATGCCAGGACCAAACATGGAGCTGCTTAACAACAAAATCAATGTTATTCCCCTCACCAGTCAGCAGTAATTGACATATATCTCAAAATCAGGTCAAAGGGAACCAACAACAGCATGACTACATGTGATTACAATTCCTGATGAGGATGATAGTTTTTCCAGCAACACAACATGACCAGTAGCAGAAGCAATCAAAACCAAATCAACAGCAGCAGTCAGCAACAACAGATAAAAAGGTTTGATTCACAGCAGCAACATCATGCTGTTGCACCAGAAGAGAATCTCCTCCAACTGCAGACACCAACGTTAAACATTTATTTACTCCTCAAACTATAAGTCAGTAGAAACAGACTGTAATTCTGTAGTTGTTCATGAAAAATAAGACATTTCTGCTTCTGGTGCCGTGTTAAAAGATGGTTTCCGGAGACAGAAACTCTTTTATTCCTTTCATATCTGATAATACAGTGGGTTATGGGATGGATTCCTTAAAAAATAAAATATATAAAGTAACCAAGGTAATTAGATTGTACAATCTCCTTTCTGTCTCCCAGCGTCGGCAGCAAAAAGGAGAGACCCATATCACTTCGCATGACGATCTATCTATAGTTGCAGCTTGTGATACTGCTGCAGGACAGACAGCTGATTAAGAAACAGTCATAAACAAACTGGAGCTCATGCAATGAAGCAGAACTCTCTTTCCTCTTCTGAAACGCAGTTCGCATGGGACGGAATCTCAGTTTATAAACAACGATAAGCGCAACACGGACGGTTTGTGTGTATTTTTAAAAGATAGCTCCATAAAAAGCTGCACTTTAGTTATCACGATTTAGGAAAAATGTCAGATTCTAATAATTCGACACCCACACAAGGAGGCTCTCAGGGGAATTCAGTTTTTTTAGCTTCAGTGCACATCTACTGTTATCCCTCTGTTTTATATCAACACATTGTCTAGATAATGGAGTTGCAGACGTGTTTGCGACATGGTTAAAACTCTATTTTGTCAGCTTAAAAGGATTTCACTAAAACATCAGAATTTATGTTCCTAAATTTCAACAAGTTGGTGAGTCAGAGTCATAGAGGATGTTTTTTAAACACGTATGGCAAACAGGGTTCATGGGGTTATAAAAGCTCAGAAATGCTTGAATTTACACGGAGTGAGGAGACAAAAAAATTGGGAAAATGTAAAATCTGCTGCACATTAGTCCTTCAAAGCCGATTAACGGTCAAATGACAGAAAATCTGCACTGTAACTTTTACTTTGTAAAGAAATTTTGCCCACATTTTAAAAATATTTTACCAGTTTATCTAGATGAATATAGGTAAATTAAAGAAATTATTATTTTTTAAAATTTGAAGGGGTCTTCGTTAAAAAAACACGGAGTATAATCTCTAAACTCAACTTAAAAATCAGTTGTAGCAGCTTTAAAACGCTAAAATAAAGTGTTCTAAATGTACAAGTCGTGTATCGTTTCCTATGTTACCCTTTTCTGACTGCAGCCAACAATGAGGTAGGTTTCTATGCTGTTCTTCTTCAGGTAGGCGTTTCTCTCTCCTCCTGCTCCTGGTTCCACATCGTAGTCGCCGTTCAGATAATTCAGAGTAGCTTTAGTGATGTGGATACGCCTGAAATGACAGAAACACCCACATAAAAGTTCATTATTCTGATGCCCTATATTCAGATCTACAGCTTTAATACAGCTCAAGCAATATTTCCTGGTTTGTAGGTAGTTTGAGTTGAATGTAGTAAGAGAAACACACCCAGCTTTGCCTCCAGCTTCCATCTGATTTGCTAGAGTGACATCGTTGGACCAGACGTCAAACTGCCACTTCCTGAGTCCCAGCACCCCACAGTGAACTCTGCCGCTGTGGATGCCCACTCGCATGTTCACGTTCACCCCCGTCACTTCCCGTACCAGCCTGCAAGACACAGGAAACAAGTTTTTGGGCGGTAATCTGCGAAATTATCGTGTCTGATTTCACCAACATCTCTGCTGGTAGATGCTGGTGCTGAGGTTACCAAGAGATCCCTATTCTAGAATAGAATAGAACAGAATAGAAAGATTTTATTGCCATCATACACAAAGTACAACGAAATTAAAAATTCTAGATTGTTGTTTTCAGTACTGATATCTTTCTAGCTGGATCTTTTATTAAAGTTTCCAAACAAGCAATATCTTCTTGGCCACAGAGTCATTTCGACACAGCAACACTGGGAAAACAAAAGGTCTGTGAATGCATCGCTTTCCAGGAACTTGCAGTGAAACTGGGACACCGTTATCAGATTAGTGCGTTCCTGCTAAATTCTAGATAGAAGAAGAGATTGTTGAGAATTAAACAAATCAAACTTCAGCTTGTCCATGAAACTGAAACTATCTGCATGTTTTTCTTCCACTAAAACTAAGAAATTGTGTGATTTCTGTGAAAGCACTGTTTATCTGCAAATCTAGGATCTGTTAAGAGTGAGGACAAGATAAGAACAGATACTTACTTATCCTAAGACCTTTGCCCTGTGAATAATTTAATTTGACCCAAATAATCAATCACTGATTACCTTTGAAATGTTTTTAGCCGTTTTCTGACTGAAGCAGGACATGTGCACTGATGACAACTGACACGGTGGTCACAGACTGGAGACTCACGGATAAAGACTGACAGAAACAGTTTCAATGGTTTTGTCTTGGTGAAACAAAACTGACTCTGAAAAGCATTTAAAGATCTGAGTGAAGACAGCTTCTTTTGACATGCTCATGTTTCCACCAACCACGAGGAATGTGGTGCTTTTGCAAAATTAAAGTCACGAAAAAGATAGATTTTATTTCCTTTTAGTAGCTCATACCCACATCTGACAAGCTGGAAACTACAACTGATTGATATTGTTTGCTTGACAAATTACTTAAAAAGTTGGTCTTTTTAAGGAGAAGTTTAACAATTTGGGAACTGTTGGCTGCCAGCAGTAGCTTCACATTTAGCACAAAGACATGACAGTGGTATAGATTTTCTCTTCTAACACTTGGCAAGAAAGAGAGGAGATCTTTTTTTTGTGTAAAATATCAAACTGTTCCCTTGAGTAATAGCCCAGTGCATGCAGGGATAAAGTTGCTGTACTGATCAGAGAGAGATAATGGTAAGAGCAGAGTAAGGCCGATCAGTAGCGATGGCTTAGAAACGTAAGGCTCTGTTGGGAAAAAATTAAAAGCACTGAGGACTGTTCAACCCCTTTAAAAAGTGTTTAACTACCTCTCAAGCCTTGAACTTTAACCCCAGAGAACAATAACAGCAGAAATCAGATGTCAGTCTTGTGCTCTGATTTATTTACAGATGCTAACAGACGTGAAAAAGTTGGAAAACACCTCCAATATTTGGATGTGTAATAAAATTATAGTATTTATTACCACTCACATTTTTGGGAGTTTACATTAAAAATAACAAAAACTGCATCTGGAAGTCCTTATTCTTCCATCTAATGGGCGTCCCACAGACTGTCCTGCTACTGTGCAGCACATATCCGTCCACTTTCTTCCACTTATTTAAAGTCTGTTCACAGTGGCAGCGGCCCAAGCAGGTCATTCCAGACGTCCCTCACCCCAGCAACATTTTCCAGCTCCTCCAGGGGAATCTAAAGGCTGGCCCAGATAAGATATGCAGTCCTCTCAGAGAGCTCTGGGTTTCCTCGGGGTCTCCTTCAAATTGTCCAGAAAACCTCCAAAAGAAGCTGCACAGGAGGCGTCCTAATCAGATGCCTGAACCAGCTTAGCTCCTTTTGACAGGAATAAGCAGCGACTCCGAGCTCCTCAGCCTACATCTGAGGTCAAGCCTGGTCACCCAACAGAGGAAACCAGTTTTAGGTGCTAGCATCCCCGATTATATTCCCTTGGTCACTAGCCAGAGCTCAAGACTGAAGGTAAATGTTGAAACGAAGATCAACTGGTAAATCGAGAGTTCTGCCCTCTTCACCAGCAGTCTGGCACAACAAATTACTGCTGACACTACTTCAGTCCATTTGTACTTCTCATGCTCCATTTTCCCATCACTCGTAATCAAGATGCCAAAATAGAAATAGAAATAATCTCCTTCCCTTCGGGCAACAACTCCCCTCAACCCAGAGGGAGCAATCCTCCAGTTTCTGGCAGGAAACCAGAACCTTTGATGGAACTGTATGCAGCTGCAAACAGAACCACTTCATCTGCATAAAGCAACTCTGAGGTTCCCAAAGTGGACACAGTCCTCGCCCAGGCTGCACCTTGAGATCCCATGCATGAATATTACCAACTGGATCAGAGACAACCTTGGCAGAGTCCAACATTCACTAAAAATGTGTTTGACTTTGTCCCAAGAACACAAACACTTAATGTCTGATTCAAACTAGAGACAAGAGTTTCCATTACCATTTCTAAATTCAGAAATTTTAATTTGACAAACATATTAACCAGATATGGTTGTAGGTATATATGACATAGTTATGGGTATATTTTAACTTGGGGGGCAACTTACGAGATGGCCTCTATCATGTCCAGCCCCATCTCCACACAGCAGTGGGCGTGGTCGGCCCTCGCCTCCGGCAGCCCCGACACGCAGTAGTAGCAGTCGCCCAGGATCTTGATCCGCAGACAGTGATTCTCCTGTCACAGTAAACAGAACAGAACAACTTCGTGGTGGGTTTAAATTGACTTCACTTTTACATTTCTTTTGGGTGGCGGGATTTTCCCAGTCATGCGTGTGCCAGTGTACCGTGTGCAGGAAGGACTACTGTATGCACTGAAACCAACATGTCTTCTACAAACCAACTCTTTCAACCCAACCCTTCAAAAACAAACAACATTGTGGTGATTTAACTGGATCCATTTTACTGTTTCTTCTTTTCACGTTTCATTTTATGACAGAATTCAAAAGTTCAGCTACACACACAGCTAAACACTCAGAGCTGCAGTCACAACATCAGAGTGCAGAGTCTGTAAATACAGACCTAATACAGAAGCTAAACTTCTAAAAGGCAAATGTCACAACTGAAACAAACAGCAAAATGACTGCAAGTCAAAATCTTTTTCCCTGCCACTGCACCCAATAATAGCCTCAGAATGTATTGTAAAGAGTCTCCTTTCTAACCAGAAATCAGGATTTATTATGCTGCCATTTATTTTTCCACCTAAGAGATGATGTGCTCATGGAAGGTATTTTTTGCTCTTGTAATAAAATAACCATCCACATAATCAAACATAAAAATAGAGTAAGTGGCATTTTCTGGTTAAATTTCTACAGTTTTACCCACAAAGATGTTTTCTGAAAACACATTATGAGTTTGCCTTTGGTCCCAGAAAGTCCCTGTTTTTTTTTAAAGTCTGGTCACGTGCAGATTGACATCAGTTTGGAGGGATGCATATTACCTGAGGATGATCTAAAAACATTTTTGGAACAACAACAAAACAAAACAAATCACTTTGTGCATTCTAGAAGAATCTGTGCAATGTCAGCGTTTTTTACGCATAGGAGGACCTGGTGCAAGAACAATGTTTTTGTGAAACTACATTATATTTCACATTCAGAGGAATCTGTGCACTATCACAAATTTCTACATATAGCAGAATCTGCACATTATCAACAGCACTGATGCATATTTCATGTTTATTTATCTATTTGCTGATGCTCCCTATGTTGTAGTACGAACCCCTTTGCTGCTGTAACTCTGCAAATTTTCCCACTGTAAAATTAATACAAGGATTATCTTATTTTAATATGAACTTTACAATGAAGTGAGCCGGCATTTGAACACACTTGTTTCTCCAAGAGCACTGAAGCCTATAAAGATGCCACTAAAAGTAAGAGAGAGATTTTTTTTAATCCTCTAACCTTCAAACTGCGGAGAGAAGATTCAGTATTTGCAGCTTCAAAACTCTTACTTGGACACAGATTGCAACAACAACTGGATCGTTGCATAGATTTTACACGTTTGCCTTAGATCTCAATTATCTCCTAGCAGTGTGTAGGACAACCATAACATGTTCTGTGTGTGTGTGTGTGTGTGTGTGTGTGTGTGTGCGGCTCCTCAGTGCTCGGGAGAATATTGTGTCTCATGATGACCACCTGAGTGTCTCTGCAGCACATGGCTCTGGGAAAATAGAGCCACTGTGTTCGGAGCACAGAGGGAGAAAGTGTGTGTGTGTGTGTGAGTGTGTGTGTGTGTGTGTAGGTGTGTGTGTGTGTGTGTGTGTGTGTGTGTGTGTGTGTGTGTGTTGGTACAAGGTACATCTGGCACAGACATAAAAGTTTTATAATGCCATTATGCCCCGATTCGCTTATAAATATTGATTAGCATATCATTTCACCTTTCATAAACAAATGACATACATTGAGAGTTAGCTGGACAAACAACGGCGCTTTCTGGATAAGAAGAAAATGATGAATATTCATGAATGTGCTGCTGATGAAGGTCAGATAATAGACAACAATGTACAAACAAATGCAGGGCTGCAGGACACTGATGGCAGATCCAAAACAGATATTTGAAATGTGCTCTTCAAACACTGAAACTCTGTGCAAATTTATTTTCAAAATAACTCTGGATCACATATTTTAACTGCATCTCAGCTGCCTTTAAGATGCCCGCGAACTAGAATTTAATCTGTAGTTTTTAAATTCAATAACTACACTGAAATAAGGACCAAATAAAGACGACAGTCCGCTCACACAATAAGCCAAGTTACATTAAAATGCATCTTTTCTTCCTCTGTCTTAGCCTTCCTCTGATGATCTCACAAGAAAACTGAGCTTTTCAATCACCACTTCCTAATCTTATTGTCTTGTAACCCCTAAAAAGCAAACTTGTCCTCTTGCTCAGCAGCTTGCATATGTTTACAGTCATGGACTGGCTCAGCCAAAGTATCATTATTCCTCCTCTGATTGTCTATAGAAGCCTGAAGGGGGTAAAATTCTAGTATAGTAAAACATTATGACTAAATCCCAAAGTAAAAAAAAAAAATTGCACAGTAGAATTTTTTCTCAAAGGCCAGGCTCATCCAATTTAATAAATGCTCCTTAATTAGACCTCAGCCTGTGACATGGGGAGGCCTCATGTGCAATATTCTTCATTGTTTATAAAAGATCTCACAATTTGGTTGTGTTTTGACTCAATCTGCTGGCTGTGGGATGATCAGGTAGCATTGTGTAACGCTTGTGGATAAACTATTGGTGTCCTCAAAAGTTCTTACGAAAAAGTTTTCAGACAGATCTCAAAGTCTGATGTGAACAATGTTTATTCATTACAGAAGCTCTAAGAACAAACATGACCAAACTCTAGAGATTTTAACCAACTAAACAATGCATAACACCTTCTTATATACTTCTGCCAAACTCCTCCCAAACTTTCCTCCTTCTACTGTGCAACGACAACCCATTCTTTTTTAAAACACTGATCAGAACATTTTTGCCACCATTATGTCTGGATGTATTCATATCTGGGAGTATCTGATCTAAATTGTGGCAAGTTTTCAAATACTTCCTTTTTTAATAAAAGCCAGCAGGCCAGTTCCAAAGCAGCCTCCTGTCTTCTGTCCTCGTTATACACCTGCTGCTCATCGCCGTTATCTTTTGTCCCACCATCCTTCCCTTAATTCTTTGTGCTGTCTCCATCCAACACCTAACACCAAAGTCTTTTAATGTCAAATTCAGCTGAGGTCTGCATTTTTAGCTTGCCAGGTCACCACGACCCACGAGCCTCACACACCACCTTACAGGCTCATATTTCTCTGCCTGCTTCACGCAGTCTTTTTTCCTTCCAGTTGTTATGTTTCATAAGTTCTTTTCATGGGTTGTAATTACACAGACTTTACACAGGATTGTTTCATTTTGTACACGAGTCTACTTTAAACCTCATATTTTCCAGTTTTGTCATTTGTTCAGTGTAAAAAATCCCACAACTGTTGGGTTTGAACAGAAAGGACAATGAGATTTGTAGTAAATGATCAGTATTCAGTCTCTTGTCTGTGAGACTTTGTCCACACTGGCTGCATGAAGGCAACCGCTTCACTCTGAAAGCTCCATTCATTTTTAATGGGACGCTCTGATCCCTGGTGGCAGCAGCGTTGGATTTGTTCTTCATGATTTGTCTGATGATTGTCTCAGCACCTCCTCAGTCAACATGTACTTAAAATATTATGCTGATTATTCTCCTGCAAGATAAGAACTAAGTCATGGATTATTCAGCACTACAGCAGCAGCATTTCAATAATACATCAGATATTCAGACACTTGAGATAGTATAAATATCAGACTCCTGCAGGTCCTATTTGCCATGCAGCTCCTGCTCCTCCTGTTACTTCCTCTACTGCTCCTCAAGCTTCAGAGTCTGAACTCCTCCAGTCCTTGAAGTTTAAGCCCTCCTAACTAGTCTTTTGCCAGTTTATAGTGTCATGGTTTCATGTGAACATGCAATTTAGTGACGCCAGACACTGAACCAGTAAAATCATGCACCAATGGATAAAAACGCCACCGTTACACTAAGACCACAACATCAGGTTGTTCAAACTGGTATAATGATGAGACAAAAGGCCCAGCAGCTCTGCACAACACTTACCTGCACAATCTACATGCATCTCTATAGACATATCGCACACTCAGGTAGATTAAATAAACACCAGACTGCAGTAAAAGGTGAATTGTGACCCTTTAGATCTCACAGCCTTCCTGTCGACCCATTATCTTGTACAGGATGTTCAGTCAGTCTCTTAATGTGTTACTGAAGTGAGTCATCCTTAATAATGGAGTTATTTACATCTTTCACAGTCATCAGGAGGAAGAAAAATAAAAAAATAGAAATGGAATCAGACTTGTCTGACCTCAAAGTAATGTCGCACATAAATATAGCGGAGAACGCTTTCTTAAGCAACACCCAGAGGAACACAGGATCCTGCCTGAACAAGTCAGGCTTTGCTGGAGTTACACTTAAAAACCGAACACCACGTTGGAATTGGTACATTTTTGTAAGTACAGTCGTGACTCGAGAATCCGACATTAAATGTAAAACCTTCTTTTATGTCAGATAGCAAGGCTGTTGGATTGTCAAGATGGAGGTCGAGATACAAGGAGGGCTTGATGCTTGAAGGGTAATTTGTTGTTCATATTTATTGTTTATAGTTGTTATAATAGCTAGTGTATTGATAGAACACTACACATCGCTGGATTTCACGCCTAATTGACCGGTGCGATTGTGCACGCTCTGGCCACTTCCACCCCGTCGGGCACACCCCCGGGGTGGAAGTGGCCGGAACGTGTACAATGTGGTGGTGGCGGCGGTGGCAGGGGAGTGGCAGGCAAGATATGCTCCATCATTACCAACCAACTTCATACAACCCAAAAGTGTCCTCTTCTGCGCATGCGAGACACTTTTGGGTCGTATGAAGTTCACACAGCAGATCACATACAAGTCGCATTTAATTGGAAATGTGAACGAACTCACAAGAAATTTTTCACAAAAAAATCTGAATTGACCATTAAATCCTACAGTCCAAACGTCGCCAATCTGTCAAATTGTTAAGTCAGATAATACACCGTTATCCTTATTTGTGGCATAGAATGTCACGTCAGAGTTGGAATCCAAGGCTGTCGGTATGTGAAGGCTATTTTTAATGGGTTCTATTCGTTTTCCCTAAAAACCTGTTAGATAGCAAAGTTTTCGGATTGTTAGGGGTTGGAGTATCGAGTCACGACTGTACTATATACTCCACTGTATGTAGGTAAAAACTCGTAGCACACATTATTGAAAAATACATATAACATATAAAAAATTAATCAAATGTAAGCAACATGGCTTTCTAGATTCTCTGCCATCAATGATAATCCTAAGAGCCTCAGTCAAAGGTGAATGCAGTGGGCTGAGAAGGGGGTCCACAACACCAATTATCAGGTACTTATAATACAGTTTCAGACAGTTTCACCACCATCAGCATCTTGAGCCATCCCTGACTTGGCACTTTTACAACCACTCATTCAATAAGCCATCAGCCATAACTTTTGGGATGATAATATATATATCTGGGACTTTTGGATGAGATGTGAAACTAAAAAAAACAAATAATGAGATAAGTTCAGCTGCTTTCTACTGAAGCTCTTAGGATAAAAACATGAGCACACTTTGTGGACATCATGTATGTGTGCATACGATTGCATCCTTACCGCTGCCAGCTTGTCAAAGCGGGCGAAAAGTTCATTGAGAGTCATCACCAACTCCTGCGCTGTGCACTGGGACGCCAGACTGGTGAAACCCTCGATGTCTGCAAAAAGGATGCTGCAGAGACACAAAGGCAAAAAGAGACATAATTCAGCATTCTTTATTCAGAACGGTTCCTTTATTTATTCCAGTGTGAAATTCCCATTTTGCTCTGTACTGCAGTCTTTTCCCCTGCAAACTGCTTTTTGCCTGGTGCTCATAAATGCCGCACAGGGCATCTCTAGCTACTTTTTTTTTGACATCCCAATAAACTTAAACACGGGGATTTATCCATGGAAAGTTTGACTTAGGCTGGAATTATGTTTCTCTGAAGATACACAGCAGAGGGGATTGTGGGTAATCATAGCTTGTTGATACTCATAAAGGGGCCGAAACTATTCTCAACTAGCGCCTTGCAAGTTGATTGGTTGATTTAAGTCTGCTCTGTTCTTCTGTATAAAAGAAATGGTCTACACAAAAGAAAGCCATAAAAGTTGAGAAAACCCTGCACACATTCGTGTACATGTAGCCCAGAGAAAGGCTTTATTGCATTTTTTTCCAGCTTGCCAACACTGCAACAACAAAAGGATCCCTCACTGCCTCCCCACATGTGAATCAAATCGATTATGTTTGTTGGAACACAAAGTCAGAGTCAAAGGGCAACTAAGAATCAACTCCCTGCACCAACTCTGGACAGAAGAAGAGAAAAAAGTGACATACTCCTTTACTGTAACCAACACCTTGACAATAGTTTATCCTGAAACATCTCTGCAACTCCTTGTTTGCTCTATCAGTGTGCTGGTACACAGCAAAAAGAGAGAGCTGAGAGCGAGGTAGAGGTGAGAGATTGAACAACTCTGGTCAAGATGTACCTCGGAGCCACTGATGGAGGAGAGAGGTGTGAGACTGTGATTGAGGCGGCTTTGTACAGTCATGTGTAAATGTAATAAAACGCCTGTAATCTGCTGTTTAAAAGTACTTGATGCAGCATTTTGTACTAATGAGGTCTGGGCAAAGAGAGTGTGAGAGAGTGAGAGTGTGTGTGAGACATTTGGAGCTACTGTGCGCTTGTAAAAAAAAAAAAAAAAAAAGTTAGCTGGGAACACGGTAAACTGATACAGCAAAGGCCTTTTTGTGATTGAGGCATTTTCATTACAATACTGACACTGGCACAACAGCAGGGCCGATGATCTCACCAGGCTGAATCATTTCTCTCTGAAAGAAACAAGGACAAAGGGGCCAGGCTGGCAGGTAGAGGCAGTAATAGACTCAGCATTAGCTGTGGGAGACATTCGCTTTGGTCTCTTGCACACTCGCAGATACAAAAACCCACGAGAAAGCTCGTCCTGAAGGGCTCGAGTTCTTCTGAGAAACAGCATAACTCACCGTCACACAAAGTCGCATCTCACGCTAGACATTCGTTTCTTCAATGAGCATATTTATTCTCTGGCCACTGATTTCCTCCTGGCATCCAACATGTGATGAAGTACATTAGTCAAAGCCAGAATGGATAATAACTATGCCTTGTGTTTCAACGGGATTGCCTGGTCCACTGGCTGAAAAGCACCCCTCAAGCATTGCAATCCCACTTTTGCGCTTGACCGTATAGGGATGATGTTCTTGGGGTTGAATGCTTCTTCTTCCTCCAGTCAAACGAAAGCCACATCCAAACAAGTCCATTTTCATCTCATCCAACCACAGAAATAATGACCAAACGCTTTCTTCTTTGTCTTTGTCTGAATGTCTTGGTGAAGTGGAGTCCTCCTTGGTCGTGTCCATGGACACCAGTCTTGTGCTGGTTTGTCAATGTTAGTTACTAGAATTGCTCAAACTAATCAGGACAGTCTTGGTGGTGGTCCCTGGACTCTTATTGGCCTCTAGCGATAAAATTCTTGGAAAAGTCAAGCATCACCTTTGGATTTGAGACTCCACACTGTGGAACTCTTTGTACTTCTAGATTATTCTTGGCATTGTGGTCAATAACACTGGAAAACACTTAACTTTATACATTTTCCCCATCTTGTGATCAACTACAGTGTCCACCTATCTCTCAGTGATGGACCCCATACAGCAGCTCACTTAGGTCTTCGGTTTTAGCCATGACTTGCAATTGACTAGTAACGGACAAGAGAACTATTGCATTGGCTGTTCTCACGGTAGAGCAAGGGTCTCAAACTGGTGGCCCGCGGGCCAATTTTGTGGCCCCCTACTTGACATCAAAGTTTAGTGTTAGTGCGGCCCACGCATTTTTCTCACACACGCGCGCGCGAATCATTGCTCTGGGCGTTTTATATTTTTTTATCACTTGTGGGCTACCATAGCTCAGGCTCGTGACAGCCATGTTAGTCACTTGAAACATGATTTGGGAGTGTCACTGAGTGGACAGACAATATATCCTGTCACCCAGTGCAAATCTGCTGTTTTTTTGGTTTGTTTTTTTCTGTCTATTCTCCACCATGAACTTTAATAAGTCGAAGTACAGATCCAAACTTACTGATGAGCACCCTGAAGCCATACTGAGGGTCTCAATTGCTTTCTCCCTCAAGCCAAATGTGGCTCAGCTGTGTAAGAGGAAGCGCTGCCGGGTCTCTGGTAGCGAGGAGTAGGTAAGAGAAGCCTATGTTCTGAGGAACCTTTTATGTTCAGAATTGTTATTAATAAAGATTGAGAAGATTGGATCAGTTGTATTTTTTTTGGAATACTTGAAACCCTTTTTTGTGGAATACGTGATGCGGCCCAGCCTCATCCAGACTCTGTTCCAGCGGCCTGCAGGTAAGTTGAGTTTGAGACCCCTGAGGTAGTGGTAAAGAACCTGCACTGTCTCAAAAATTTGTGACAGTTTCAGTGGGTATGAAGAATTTTGGACATGACATTATTGCTAAAAATGTAAAAATATACATAGAAATCATTCAAATTTTTCATTACTATCTCAAAATGTATCTTATATGTTGTTTTTTTTGGCATTTCAAGTCATGTACAGCCAAAAAAAATCATTAAAAGTCAAAATTCTGCAACAGTATGAACAATTATTAGCTCAACTATTCACTGTTCAGCACATTTCATATTATATACACGCAATATACCAAACATCCTACGAGGTAAAGAGTGGTTGTCGCTACATTTAATTTTCTCTTTGCTCCTTTCACAATGCTCTCACATTACATTCACATATGTCAAATTAGTAGAGCAATCTGATGTCAAGCTGCATAAGAACACCTCAGCCGGGCAGCGTCATCCTTCTGTGAGTTTCTAAAGCCAGATATTGCAGTTTCCTGACTATGTAGAAGCGCCATTCTGAGTCAGACCCCCAGAGGAGAAGAGGAAGCTATAAATAAGCCAATGTTTCAGACCAAACAAGCTCACATGAATCTCACAGGGTAGGTGCCTGTTACACAGCCAAGAGGACATGTTTGTACAGTATTTCTGCACAGGATGAGCAAGTGTTTAGAGGTTTGTCTGGTGGATACATGACATAAATTTTGTCCAAGTGCTGCTGCCGGGGTTTTTTTTTCACGGTCCTCTTCTCTGTGCTCCTCACATGTCAAGAGCACGAACATGTTCTAATGAACCCGGGCATCAAAACGCCTAAATTTACTCAATTTGGTTCTTGAGCTGAAGAGGATTAAGAGTCCCCAATCTGGGGTACACATTTCTGAGAATAATTGATTGCTTTCTGTGAGCTGTTGCATGGGAGGTCGAGTGAAACCAGACACTTGACCGATGTCTCTAAGCTCAGAAACAGGTTTGTCTGCTGGGTGGAAGCAGTGGTGATCGAAGAGGGAGGATGGTATAGGGACTAGAAATGAGAGACTGCTTCATTTTGCTCACTTTCAATCCTCACAGTGTTCTAAAGTTTTAAAACTGCCTCTTTAAATGATCAATTTTATCCCTAAGGTGCATTAGAAATATATCAGTACATCGAATTTTTACATGCTTAGAGTCAACAAGCTGAGCTAGAACAGAAACCTAAAGCATTTACTTTGTGGGTTTAAAAATGTGGACACCCAATAAAAAGGGTTCCTGGCATACATTGTACACCCTGTGAGGAAATTTCAGTGGAATGCCATACTGGAGCAAGGCACTGAGTTTTGCTAACAAATCAATGTGTGTTACAAAACTAGATATTTCATTAGGGCTACCTTAGTTGGAATTTAGTTTTAAGTCAACTAATAAAATTTCCGTTTAAATGACACATTGTATCAAGTTGATGCAATCAGCAACAATATTATGTCAACCCAACACATCAAGAAACGATTGCAACTTAGATGGGTTACCTAAATCAGCAAATTCCATTTTGTAACTTGAAACCAAGCACTTAATTAAGTGTACAAGCAAAAAAGACTCCAAAATTCAGGGAAAATCTATCAGTAATGTCAGGTACACGTAAACCAAAAAAAAAAGCATTAGCCTATGGTCCAAAGACTGATGAGATAAAACCTTTTAGTGGGTTGATCTTTTAATGGATGCATCTACTCAAAATTATATAGGCTCCCTTTAAAAATGTAGGGATTTGCTTGTTTCAGCAGTAAGGCAGCCTGACAGAGTAGGGTGGAAACTGAGGAAAAGTCCCTGACGAAAATGTACTTGCTTTGGAAAACTTCTCCTGATTGTGTCAAATGTCAAGATTCAATTACAGATAAAACCGTTTAGAAAAAATACTGATCAGCCACAACATTAA